CGATTTCCTCCACTGTGGAGGGACCGATGTCGTGGCACCTCAGGGAAAGAGACCGAAACCCTCGCATTCCCAAGTCCCGGCTGGGAGGGCTCGGCCACGGCGCGACAGATATCGGGGTCGGGGAGGCTCCAAACGAAGGCGACGGCGCCGCCCCTCTGCCTTTAATTATTTTGTCAACAAGGCTCACAATTCGGCAAGCCAAAGTGGCATTCGAGAGGGACGGTTCCCTTCAGCGTAGCTGACAGCTAATTTGTGGGAAGTTTAATTACAGGCGGCGTTAATTAACTGGCAGAGCGCTGGGCGAGGAAGGCAGCCATCTGTTCCTAAAAGCGTCCTCCCCTCCTGGGCCTGGCTGGGAGGCTGCGAGGGGTGGGGACAGAGGAGGAGGAAGGAAGGGGACCAGGTGCTGAATCACCGCTTCTGCGCCTCCCTTCCCGACACTGCCAGGGCCCAGATCCTGGCAGCCGGCCTCCCCTGGCCTCCCCCAGTGGCCTCCGGGAACGGCAGCACCAACTTCTGGGAATCTGCCTCTCACTGGTTATATCACCAGAAGTACAAGATGTGGGACAGAGGAGGTGAAGAACCTGTCGTCCTCAGCCTACACTGGGGAGGGGGCACCCTCCAAAGGAGGTTGGGAGGGGGACGGGGGATAGAGCCAGGCGCGAGGGACTCCCTGAGCAGCGCGGCCGGGGAGGGACAGACCCTGCCCTTGCTCGGCGGTTCACCCCTCCATTTGGACCATTCTTCCTGGGGATGGTGCTCTCTGGAGATGGGCTGTCTGGACCCAAGTTCCAGCTCCGTCCCAGCTGTTTGCCCTGGGGTAAGTCACTTAACCTCTCTGAGCTCAGTTTCCTCATCCGGAAAGTGGGGTCGCTCATGACAGGAGCTATTTCTGTTTGTCGTTCTAGAAAGTTGTGCCCACGCGTGTTCAGGCTGCGGGAGCCTTGTTACAAACTTGCAGTGTGGCTATTTGTTGCAGCCCGTGAGGGGCACGGATGCGTGATAAGGGGAGGGAGCACTCGAAAAGGTCAGGGTCGCCTGTGCCCTCTGGGAACCTGGGCCCTCGCACGTGCTGTTCCCTCCACCCAGAACACCCTTCCAGGCAACACCGAACTGCTTCCACTTTACCTGTCAAGTCTTGACGTGGATGCCTCCTCCCCCGGGAAGCCCTCCCAGACTGGCCAGCAGCTGCCTCTCTCACTCACTTGCTCACTTGCTCACTCACTCACTCACTCGCTCACTCACTCACTCACTCGCTCACTCACTCGCTCACTCGCTCATTCATTCATTCACTCACTCACTCATTCATTCATTCACTCACTTGCTCACTCGCTCAGTCTCCGTTGAGCGTCTCCTGTGCGTCGGGTGTGACCCGAGCTCGCTGGGGACAAAGTCCCCAAAGTCACGGCTGGCGGTCTGTGTGGAAACGGCGGGGCGCAGCGGCCGTGTTGGCCAGGGAGCCGAGGGTTCGGTGCTGGAGAGAAAACCCGGGCGGAGTTGCGGCCTCAGCGGGGTCAGGGAGGCCTCGGTGAGGACGCGCATTTGCTTGGAGAACCAGAGGCGGCAAGAGAGGGAGCCATGTGGGGACATCGGGGGACGGCACCCCGGGCAGAGGCATGGCCCGTGCAAAGGCCCTGGGGCAGGACCGCCTGGCGTGCAGGAGGCCTGTGTGGCTGGGGCGGAGGGAGGACAGGGACAGGGCGGAGGGAGGACGGGGACAGGGCGGAGGGGAGGCGTGCGGGGCCTGGTGGCCCTCCAGGAGGACCTGGCTTCTCCGGCTCACGCCCCCACGCCTGCCACCGCCGCCCGGCGTGGCATCAGCTACCCGCTCCCCGCGTCTCCCGCACCCGGCCCGCCGCCGACACCCGTGTCCGCGCTGTGGCAGGAGACTCGAGTGGCCGCGCCGCCCGTCACCGCGAGAGGCCGGTCAGGGCCTGGCGACGCCACTTGGCACGCGCCGAGCGCCCAGGGGCTGCGGGCGAGGGCGGCGCCCGGGTGTGGGCATGGCGTGCGGCCGCCCGGCGCCCGAGAGGAGGGAGCGGCGTCCACGCGGGCACCTGGACGTCCGCGCGGGCGGGGCCGGGGTGGGGCCGGCGCTTTGCTGGGCGGGAGGGCTGCGCGGCGGGGTCTGGGGGCGGTGGCGGCCAGGTGACCTCGTCGCACCACGCTCAACCGGCGGCAGGCGGCAGGCAGGTTACAGGCCCGCGCCGTCTCCCCCGCGCTCTGCCCGGCCCCACGCCGCCCCCCTGCGCCGGCTCCCGCACGCCCTCGCGCCCCGGGCCTCAGCCTCCAGGTCTCCCTGTGCTGGACCCCCCGCCCTTCGTGTCTCTGCCACTGTCACCTCCTCAGGGAGGCCCTCCCTGATCGCCCCTGACTAAAGCCACCATCCCCCATCACCTGCTGCCCGTCGCCCCGTTGCATTAAAACCTGCGACTGGTTACATAGGAAAGTCCCCGAGGGTGGGGTCTCCCCGAGGGTGGGGTCTCCCCGAGGCTGGGGTGTCTCTGGGTCAGGGCACTGTGCCCAGCACGGCACCTAGCGCATATAGGTGCTCATTAAATAGGGATCGAGAGGCAGTTGAGTGAAAAAGTAATATGCACGGGGCTCTGTGAGCCCGGGTTCAAATCCTGGCTCGGTCCCTGGTGTGCTGTGTGGCTTCGGGCAGATTGCATAACCTCTCTGTTCTTTCATCGGAAGCTGAGATTAACATGGCTCTCTTGGGGGATGGGGAGGTTCGATCCCCTAGCCCCGTGTCATCTGAGTCCCCGAGGGTTTATTTTGCCATCCCCCAGGGCGGGTGGGACCGACTGCGCCTCCCGGCCGGGGCGCCCAGTCCCCCCAACTTCTGCTCTTCTTGGGGAGCTCCGATGTGTCCCTCGATCGCCCGCTCCCCCAGGCGCCTCCCCAAACAGTGGCACTAGGGTTGGTGGCCGTGCCAGGGCCCCTGCTCCTCCGGGCTCAGTTTCCCCGTTTGGCCACATGCCCCCTTAGACAAACAGACGGCGCCACCTGGCTGGTGGGAGGGGCCGCGGCGCGCTGGCTCGTGGGGACAGCGGCCAAGGCGGGGGCGGGGCTGGCGCGGGGCTGGCGCGGCTGCGGGTCTGGCACCCCGCTCCGGTGGAGGCGGCTGGAGCAGGGCCCGGGCCGGCTGCCGGCTGCCGGGGACGGGGAGGCTGGGACGAAGCTGAGGCCCTTCTCAGAGGAGGCGGGCCCCAGCGGGGACAGGGAGCTCCACGTGCGTTTATTAAGCGCCTGCTGGGTGCCAGACCATGTTGCTGGGGGGGCGTGCTGTTCCAGCTGCCGGGGTCTCTTCTCCTTTTCCGTGGTGCTGAGCGCTGCTCACCTGATCTCCATCTAGAAGACCCCGCCTCCAGGAAGCCCCCCCAGATCCTCTGGAAGGAGCCGGCACCTCCCTGCGGGTCGGCGCGGTGCCTGAGTTTCCTCCATCACCCCATGCTATAGCCGAGCCGTGGGCGGGTCGGTTAGTCCATCGACAAACGCACGCAGAGCGCTCAGTAGGTGGCAGGCACCGTGCTCCGCATCGTCCCTGCTTAGAAAAGCCCAGATGAGCAGGTGCCACTGGTGTTTCCACTTCACAGGTGGGGAAACTGAGGCTCAGAGAGGTTGAATTATGGAGTGGAGCCATCTGGCCTGGGGCATGGTGCATGGTAGGGCCTCAGCGAGAACTGATTTCTACCCCAGCGATGGGGAGCTCATCCCATCCCGAAGGAGGCTGAAGCTGGACGTGTGGGGTTATCTATGCATTCATTCATTCATTCATTCATTCACTCACCCACCAAATATGTGTTGGGCAGCCACGGAGGGCCAGGTTCCATGAGTGTGTCCGAGTGTCCCGCAGTGCTGGACAGCCCCAATATCTGTTCCCTCCTCTTCCGTGGTGAGAGAATCCCTGGTTTCCAGGGAACAGTTGGTCGCTCAGAATAAAGACCACATTTCCCAGCATCCTTTGAGCCAGCTGTGGTCACATGACTAAGTTCTGGCAGATGCAGCATGAGCAGAAGTGGTGTGAGCCCTTCCTCACCCCTTCCTCCTCCTTGCCTGGGAGGCAGATGTGATGGCTGGAGCTCAAGCAACCACCTTGTCCCATGAAGAGGATGCCACGTCTGAGGATGTGGAGAGAGAAGATGGAAAAATTCTGGGCCCCAGACACCGTGAAGCCTCCATGGAGTCTCTGGGCTGACTCCCATGTTCATGAGCAAATAGCCCTGTGCGCTTGAGCTGCTGTGGTTGGGCCTCAGATCCTCCTGTCTCAGCCTCCTGAGTAGCTGGGACTACAGTTGCCACTACCACCACGCCTGGCTAATTTTTCTATTTTTGGTAGAGACAGGGTCTCGCTGTGTTGCCCAGGCTGATCTCAGACTCCTGGCCTCAAGTGAGCCTCCTGCCCCAGCCTCTCAAAGTTCTGGGATTACAGGCGTGAGCCACCGTCCCTGGGCCACCGTAAAATTAAACACATCCGATCTGGTTTCTGAATCCAACTACACATTCACAGAAAGTACTGGGGACCGAGGAACGTGTTAAATGACACCACAAGGCAAAATCCAGAGAGGGGACATCACAGGACGGATGACCCGGTTGCTTCAACAAATAAACTGCAAAGAAAAACTGAAAGAGAGAGAAAAGGAGGGAGAAGCCACTAGTGACAAGAGAGTCGAGAGACCACCCGCCATCTAGCCTTCACCTAGGTCCTGGTCCGAACAGCCTTTAAAAGAAACAGTGGGAACGAACAATGAACGCGCGCCCAGGACGGGAACTCAGGCAGGGACGCCCTGCCCGGCCCGCCGGCCCTCACCCACCTGCCACACGGGGCCAGCCTTGGGCTCCGCCGCGCTGGGCGTCCCCGGTCCCCAGGCGGAGGCCGGGCGGCCTGGCCGCAGCGAAGGCAAGCGTCTGATTCCAAATCCACTTTATTTTCTCCAGACCAGAAACACTCCTCACGGCCAGGCCGCCCTCCCGCCGGGATCTCGGTGGCCCAGCGCCTCAGGAGGGCCCCAGGGGCCTGTCGGGGGGCTCGGCGGGGGGCTCGGCCGCGGCCAGGGCCTCGGGGCTGCAGCGGCCGCAGGGGCCGGTCCGGGCCAGCAGCTCCAGCCTGCGGGAGCGCAGCCGGGCCTGCACGGCCCAGAGGGGCGGCCGGTGGCCGGGCAGGGAGGGGTCCTCGTCGCAGAAGCTGTCGACGGTGGCGTCGGAGCCGTCCTCGGTGCCGGCCACCGACTGCTTGCACACGGGGCAGGAGCGCCGGGCGGCCTGGGCGAGCCAGGGCCCGATGCACTCGCAGTGGTAGGCGTGCGAGCAGGGCAGGATCTTGAGCCGGTCGCCCTCCTCGTACTCGTCCAGGCAGATGGCGCACAGGTCGTGGCGCCGCGTGAAGGTGCGCACCTGCGCCCGCGGGCCGGGCGGCGCCTTGGCGGGCGGCCCCCGCGCCCACCAGGCGCGGGCCCAGAGGCAGAGGCGGCGCAGCGCCAGGAGCGCGGCGGCGGCCAGCGCCAGCGCGCGGCCCAGCACCCAGGACAGCGCCAGCGCGGGCCGGCAGTCGGGCTCGGGGCAGGCCGCGCGGCCGGGCAGCAGCAGCACCTGGGCCGACTTGTCGCAGCGCACGATGACGCGCAGGTCCTGCGAGGCGGCCTCGCCCACGAACACGGCGGGGATGGCGATCTGGCCGCGCAGGTCCTCGCACACGTGGGCCATGCGCACCAGGTCGTCCGAGCGCACGTTGTGCACGATGGCCGCCTCGAAGCCGGCGCGCTGCGCGTGCAGCACCTTGAGGTCGAAGGGGCAGTCGTAGCGGCGGATCAGCGCGATGGCGCCCAGCGAGCGGTTGCCGGGCCGCGGGCCCTCGATGGGCTGGCAGGCGTTGGCCGGCCGGGCCTCCACCAGGTAGCCGCGCACGCCCCCGGGCGCCAGGGGCACGCCGAACAGCGCCGGCAGGTCCGCGAAGTCCACGGCGCTGGTGTTGTCCTCCAGCACGGCCCGCACCACGGCCTGCGAGCGGCCCAGCAGCGCGGGCAGGATCAGCAGGGCCTTGAGCGCCGCCCCCAGCGCGGGGGCCGGCCGCGGCCGCCCCATGGCCGCCCCCTGCTCCGGCTGCGCGCGGCTAGGTCCCGCTGGGGACGGCTCCCGCGAGGCCCAGGGGCATCTCCAGGGCCGCCCCGGGGCCCGTGGCCGGTGCCGGAGTGGCGGGGGTGGCGCGGCGGGGGCTGGGACGCGGGCGCGGCGCGGTCTAGGCAGAGCAGGCGCCCGGCTGCAGCCCGGCGCGCATGGCGCCCTGGAGGGCCGGTCTCGGAGCTGCTGGCCTCGGTGGCCTTTCTGGCAGATGACACTGAGGCTGGGGGCCCTCCGGGTTCTAGACGTCCCCGGCCTCTGTGACATCGTCCTGTTCCACCCTCCCCCTAGGAGCCTCCAGCTGCCCGGGCCTGGGGCCGGCGGAACATTCTAGGGCCCTGACGTGGGGCGGCCCGGGCGGCCTGTTCTGGAAGTCTCCGGGCGTGGTGGCCCCGAGCTGGGACGGGCGCTCGGGCGGCACCAGGGCCCTGCCAGCGTCGCCTCCCCGAGGGTGACAGCAGCATCATCTGCGCCCGCCGCTTCCTCCGCCCTCTCCCCGTCTCGCTGATTCCCTTTCTGTGCTCGTGAGCGTCTCTCCGACTCCCCGTCTCAGCGTCGCTCCGAGCCAACGCGCCGAGTGGCGGCCACGTCCCCGGCCCTCCCGGGACGGAGCTGGCCTGCAGAGGCCGGGCGCCCCCAGGCGACCCCCGGCACCCCAACCCCGCCTGGCTGGCGTGGCCCGGCGGGCAGGGACAGGCGGGTCTGCGTCCCAGGCCAGCTCGCTGCCGTCTACCCTCCTGTCCCCCCCAAGGCCCGGCGTGCGCCAGGGTGACCGCCGCGCGCAGGCCGCACTGCCCGGAGGAGGGCCTGAGAGCAGCACAAGACGTCCCCGGCTGCCACAAGTCCCCGCCCCCCTCAGTGGCCTCGTCCTGCCCAGGGACCTCCCGGCCCGGGGGGTGGAGGGGAGAGGGGCACCCACCGACGGGCCACCTGGGGTCAGACATTCTCCCGCCCCGCCTCACGGATGTGAAGACGCAGCGCAGAGAGGCAGGACCAGCCCAGGCCACCCGGGTGCTGGGGACAAGGACTCAGATCCACGCCACCTGACGCCGACGGCTGGCGCTTCCTGCGTCTTGTCTCGGGAGCCCATGACTCGACAAACGGTGGGCTGATTTTTTTTTTCCCTTTGAGGCAGAGTGTCGCTCTGTCACCCTGGGTACAGTGCCGTGGCGTCAGCCTAGCTCACAGCAACCTCACACTCCTGGGCTCAAGCGATCCTCCCGCCTCAGCCTCCTGAGTCACCGGGACTACAGGCATGCGCCACCATGCCCGGCTCATTTTTTCTATCTTTTGTAGGGACAGAAACAGCTCTTGCGCAGGCTGGTCACGCCACTGGGCTGATAGTTATTGAGCACCTCCTGCACGCCAGACCCCACGCTACGTGCTCAAGACGTACAACCCCTCAATGCCCTGCGGCTGATGCCAAACCCATTTTGCAGATGAGGAAACTGAGGCTGAAAGACTTCAAGTACCCTGCCCGAGGCCACAGAGTTAGCAGGTCGCCCTGCAGCGACCCGTAGCAATCACTCCCACGGTCTTCGCCCTGGCGACTTCGGGGACGCCCCTGCTCATGGCCAGGGCACCGTGACTTCTACCCCCGCCGCCGAAGCAACCGCCAGCCCTTCCACGCCCAAGGCTCAAGGGGAGGGACAGCCACCAGCCCAGCTTCCCTCCCGGGAGCCCGTTCTGCCATCCGCGTGTAGGAGGCAAACAGACGCTCTTGCCCATTGCCGGTGGGACGGCGAGCGGCCACCCGCTGCCCCCGGGGCTGGGCGTCAGGGACGGTGTTTAGCAAAACTGCGCATGCGTCTGCGTGGGATTGCGGGCGCGCGCCGCCGTGCTCAGCCTTGAATTAATTTTCGTGTGTGGCGTGAGGTAGGGGTTTGGGGTTCGTCTTCCTTCCTCCACCCGATCGGGTGGCCGGTCGTGCCAGCAGCGTCTGGGATCGTCTACAAGCAAGTGGCCGTGTGCGTGCGTGCACGTGTGTGTGTGGCAGGGGACAGGGCTGTCTCTTTCCAGGCTCCCGACTCTGTTCCATCCATCTATTTGTCAATCCCTGTGCCCACCCCGCCCGTCTCGATCGCCACAGGTTATCGGACATCGGTTACCGGCGTGGGCTGTGTGTGCAGGCGCCCAGCGTGGCCGTGGGGGCTGGCGGGATTGGGAGCGTCTGTGTTTCCTCTGAGGACTCGTCCATGGGTGGATGCTTCTAGAACCCCGAATCCCCTAGCACCTCCGCTCCTAGAACACATCCCATTCTTGGGGTGCCACCAAGCCACACTTCCTGAGCACCCGGCATTTGTGGGTTGGTGTCATTTCATCTATTTATTCATCACACATTTGCTAAGCACCTACTGTGTGCCAGACCCTGTGCCACAGGCACTGGGGACACAGAAATGACAAAGATACTCCCCGTCCCGACCCTCGTGTCCCTCCGAGGAGGGGAATGTTGAACTACCTCGGAACCAATGAACAAGATTATTTCAAATAGGCCGGGCGCAGTGGCTCACACCTGTAATCTCAGCGCTTTGGGAGGCCGAGGCAGGAGGATTGCTTGAGCCCAGGAGTCTGAGACCAGCCTGGGCAACACAGCAAGATCCCATCTCTATAAAAAAAAAAAAAATTAGCCAGGTGTGATGGTGCACCCCTGTAGTCCTAGCTACTCAGGAGGCTGAGGCAGGAGGGTCACTTGAGCCCAGGAGTTGGAGGCTGCAGTGAGCTGTGATGATGCCACAGCACTCCGGCCTGGGCCACAGGGCAAGACCCTGTCTCAAAAAATAAATAAATAAATAAATTGAAAACCAAAAACAAAACAGGAGACTTGAAGGCTGAGGCGGGAGCAGGCTGGGGAAGAGCAGGGTTGCAGGGTGTGTGAACAGCACGTGCAAACGTCCTGTGGCAGAAAGGGGTCAACGTGTCCGGAGGGGAGAGAGGCCGGCGTGGCCGGCAGGGAAGCGGAGGGAACGGCCGAGGCGGAGCACGGTGGGCAGCTTGCGTCTCACCGCCCGCGCCGCACGCAGCCTGGCCTCGCTGGGTCCCCCCGTCAGCCCCTGCGACAAGGTTTGGGGGCGAGCCCTGCATGCGGGAGGCGATGCCAGGACGCCGCGGGAGGGGGAGGGGAGGCGAGAGAGGGAGGGGACGTGACCCGCAGGGGCTCCTTCCTGAGCGGTGGGCGGCAGCGGGGAGGCCCCGCGGGGACGTCTGGGACCCGAGTTGGGCAGGAACTTGGAGCTGTCCTGCCCTGAGCACGAGGAGCTGCGGCGCTCGTGCACCGCCCTGCGCCGTCGCTCCGGGGCTGCCGGCAGGAAAAGCACGGATCCCGCGACACTTGCAGCCTGCCGCGGTGACAGAGCATCCTCGGGCGGGAGCCAGCGCCGCCGTCCCAGCCAGCACCTCGGGATCCGAGCCGGCCCAGGCGGGGCTGCGGCTGCATGTGGATATTTAAATACGCTCACATGCAACGAAGCCAAAGTGCGTTCCTCCGCCTCGGCGGCCACGTTTCGAGTCCTCTGTAGACACGGGGCGGCCGCGGCGCGTGGCACAGGTCTGAAGCACTCCCCGCACCCCACGAAGTCCTGGGGGGCAGCCCAGTACTGGAGGGTGTTAAGCGAGAAGGTGACGCGGTCCGATTGACACTCTGAGAATGTCCCTCTGCCCGGGAAGGGGAAACGGCCGGGTAGGGGTGAGGGTGGAAGTTGGGAGCCCTGGGAGGTGTCTGGGCGGGCGTCCAGGCTGGACGTGAGGGAGGCTCGGACCAGTGCAGTAGCAGTAAGGGACGAGCAAGGCCATTTAGAAGCAGCATGGCCAGGAAGTCCTGACCACGTGGACAGCAGGGGTGAGAGGAGAGGAGGAAGGGGGGTGACATGGGACCCTGCTGTGACCAGAGGAGCAGCAGAGTCGGCGCCGGGGCAGGCGCCGAGCTTCGTCAGGGCCCTGCTGGCCCCGAGGGGTCAGGGCGAAACCCGGGCAGGAGCCAGGTGGCAGCTGGACCGTGGTGGCAGAGACCGGGGTGGACACGAGAACCCGGGCCCCTGCGGCACTGTGGCCACGGCCGGGCGGTGGTGTGGCCGGTCGGGGGAGCCGAGCCGGGCGTCAGGCTCGGAGCCGCAGCTTGCCTGAATGCCAGCAAGCCTTGCGTGTGAGCGGCGGCGGGCGTGCGGGCGTGCGTGTGCGTGTCGGATTCCGGAGTGAATTTAATCCCAATCCCGCCGACTTTGGGGACGGGAAACAGCTGTCCTAATGAGCTCACAGTGGGTTTGAGATAGCAGGCATCTGCTGCCGTCTGAGCCAGCACGCCGCGGCCACGCCGGGCTCCGGGGAGGGGACGCAGCGTCGGGCTGAGACCCCAGTACCCCGCACGCTACCGCCCCCGCCCGGGGTCCCTGGGCCGAGCTCGAGCCAGACCCTGTGCGCCCCACTGTGGGCCTGGAGTGTCACGAGTGAGCCACGCAGGCTCTGGGGGTGACAGACGGCGCCCCCTCCAGATGCCTCCTGGCTGGGCGGCCAGAACTGCCCCGTGCCTCAGTTTCCTCATCTGCGAATGGAGATGTCATTCAAAAGTTGAGAGGCAGGAGGCACGGTGGCTCACGCCTGTAATCCCAGCACTCCGGGAGGCCGGGGCGGGAGGATCCGTTGAGGTCAGGAGATCGAGACCAGCCTGGGCAAGAGTGAGACCTCATCTCTATAAAAAATTAAAAAAATTAGCCAGGATTGGTGGTGGCGCTGTAGTCCCAGCTACTCTGGAGGCTGAGGCAGGAGGATCACTGGAGCCCAGGAGTTGGAGGCTGCAGTGAGCTGTGATGACGCCACTGCACTCCAGCCTGGGCGACAGAGTGAGACTCTGTCTTAAAAACAACAAAAAAAGGATAAAAAAAGTATACATCTGTTCATGGCACCGTCTACGGATGGAGCTTCCAGAAGTTTCCAGAAGTTTCTCTGGGTGAGTCAGCGAGCGAGTGGTGAGTGAACGTGAAGGCTTCAGACCTCACTCTGCACACACGCAGCGACGGCGTGCATTACTGCGCACCGCTGCACACCTAGGCTACGCAGCGCATACAAAAACATTTTCTTTCTTCCATAATAAATGTTTGCTCGCTGTAACCCTTTTGCCTTTAAAAACCTTTGAAGTTTTTTAAAACTCTTGGACTCTTTTGTAATAACGTTCCGCTTACAACACACACACACACACACGTTGCACGGCTATACCTGGGTATTTTCTCTCTTTATATCCTATTTCTATAAGTTTTCTCCTATTTTTAAAACTGCTC